CAAATTAAACAAGAACACATCAACAAAAGAGGGTTCAAGCAATTAATACGCGGCTCCAACGACTCTACTAGCAAATGAAGCTGGATCAGGATGTAAGGGGCGCCTCTGGTGGCTGCGCGGCGCGTCGGCGTGCTGATTGCTCGCGTAGTGGCTTAGGGCGTGCAAGTAGGGGCTCCGGTGGACGTGGGGTGGCTGGATGACGCTGGACAGAGGCTCCTTTGGTCGCACGTGAGTAGAGGCTTGGGGGACGCAATGGACTGAGTGCCTGCTGGATTGGACGAGGCGCCGGGTTTCGCTATTGGACGTGCGGCTGGTAATACGCGCTTAGAGCATCTCCAACCCACCCTCTAAACTCAGCGGAAACTGTATATATAGAGAAAATCTTGCTCCAATGAAACTCTCTCCTCTCCTCTATTTCAAGCGGAATGGGTTGTGGAACGGCTTCCCCACCGTTCCACTGTTCACCCCTCTTATTTTTTTTCTCTTTTTTTTTATTATTATTTTTTTTAAAGTAAAAAATGAGTTGGGTTGGCAAATTTNGATTTGGTTATTTTTTTATTTTTTATAATTTAATTAGTTTATGGATTATATTAAAATATTTTATTAAAAATTATAAAAACATAAAAAAAAGAGTAAGACTTGCATACCTGATCAAAAATTTCGGAGAAGACCTCAGATCCGAGGAATTGAGCGAGGCTTTCATCTTCATCATCAGGACCCATAGCAATTATAGAATTTTATTCGAGATTAAAAAAAATCGGATCTTTAAGTTAACGGAAAAGATGAGGTGGTAATATGAATCATCGCCGGCGATTTAAGATGTACGGCGTCGGCGGATCTGGGCCGTTGATATAACGGGATGACGGCATTTGCAAGACGAGGCATGAGATAGAAGGAGCGAAATTCGGGATCGGGTCGCGTAAAATTTACATCGGGTTATTTTATAATTTAACTATCATTTTAATTAATATTTAAACTCACTTAAATAAATATTACAAATAAACAAATTAAAATTACAAAATAAGGATAAACTTCCAACTCACTCAAAATTAATTGTTCTTATTGTATTGAATGCTTCATGTTTGTGTTGTTTTTTTTTTTCTTTTAAATTAATGTTTGTGATGAAATCCACGTGGTTTTATGATGCAGTGTGTAATTTTATGATTTTGATCTAAATTTATTAATTAATCTTATTAATCAATAATTAATATATATTCATAAATATGTAAATTTTAGCAAGTATAATGCATTAAAATGTAATTTGTAGAAATCATTTAATAAACTAATAAAATTAGAAAAGAATATGCTTGGAATAATCTTTTAGAGGGGAATTATAGAGGGAATGGGTTGTAGTTGCTGGTACTGTTGAAACTGTAAAATTAGTGGGATTTGATTATAGAAACTGTAAAACTAGAGGGTATGATTGGAGATGCTCTTACGATGGGGGAGCAGCAGCCGAGAGGAGAGAATGGGGAGGAGATGGTAAAGAAATCAACCAAGGAGAATCCTACCATTTAGGAGGCACATTAAGGCACCAAAATGAGGTTCAAAACGGAAGTAAGAGGGTAGGGAGATCTGGTCAAAGGTTCTCCATAATGAGCTTCTCCAAAATTTGAAATTCAAAGGAAAAAAGGTGCTTAAAATTTTTTTAAGGCAAAATGGATCACCAAAAGCTCATAAGGCTGGTGTTTTATCCTATTGGGCCAAAAATATCCAAGAGACTTGGGCCAAAAATTGATTCTCAAGGTTCAGATTGACTCAAAAACGAGTCGAAACGAATTAAAAATGGTTCTACGCGATAGAGCCGAAAATCGCCGAATCAATTAGCTAATAATTATAAAATTAATTCTAAATAATCCATACACATGAAATAATAATAAAATTAATCACATCATATTACAAGGATAAGGAAATTAAATCATCCAAGACAATCACACAATAACACAAGAACAAAGCGATTAAAATAAATGAGGCAATAATAATAAAGTAGACCATTACGTTTGGAGGGAGTGAAGATGGAAAGTGGTTGGTTGCTATGAGATGGGCTCTCCTGAAGGCGTTACATGTTGGTTGGCTCCAGTTTGCTGCAGGCTGGACAATAAGGCTCTGGTGAACAAACTGAACAAGTAGATGCTCTTTGATCCTTATTTTAATATTATTGCTAGTGATGTTTATTGTCTTCTCATCTCTTTTTCTTCTTCCTTCTTTGTTTTTTTTTTTTTNCATATGAGCTTGTTGACTTGTTGGGTGTTTAAGGGGAATGCTTGTGTCATTTCCCTGATGACTATTAACAATCAGTTGGTTGTTCATTTTGTACTTCTTTTTGAGGTTTTATAAATTTGTTTGTCGTTGGAAACAACAAGGTCACAATTAAGAAACAAGAATTCAAGAATTAAAACAACTTTTAGGAACCCCACTTCAATACCCTTATATACACGAATGAGACTCCATCAAATCGTATCAGTTCACTAACATGGTGGAATATCATACAAATATATTGCAAGCAGTAAAAGAAACTCTAATCTGTTTTTTTATGGCAATATATTTATGCATAAACACATGCCCTGATACGACATGTAAGAAATTTAACGGGTATATTCATAACAATTATGCAAAATTGAATAAACCCTAAGCATGTAATTCTATTACTTCATAGACATTGGATCTTTGCATTAATTAAATTGCACATAGAACTTACACGAGTCCAACTTTTAGTCCTTCCATGTTTTCTTGATCTACGGCTATCTTTCCTGTAATCTTCAATGATGTGTTTCTCTCCCGCGTCTCTCGTCCTTTCAGAAAGACCTTGCCAAACATTCCCTACTTACTATCATTTCCCATTTTCTACCTAAGTTATTGCCTAAGTCAAACATCACAAAATGGGCTCTTTAATATTAGAAAATTTAATAATATATTTAATACATATTCAATTTAATTAAGTTTAAATATTAATTTAATTAAATCCAACTAGTTATAAGATCCACAAGAATATAAAAAATAAAAGATGTATTTTTACATTCTTTTTTTTTTTTTT